AACATTACACTTAACCACAGCATTGCTGTACACTTCACTGACAGAATTACTAGTGCATTCCACAGGTCTGAAAGGCACATACAGGGGCATTAAAAGAAGAAGGTTTCTCCCTTGGAATGCAAAGAGTGCAGTTACTACACACATCCTTTACTTTAGCAACTGCAGGAACTCACAATGTAACCATTATAGGTAAAGAGCGATTTCTGTGAAGCATTTCCCTTGTGAGGAGCAGCCATAGCATTCATTTCAGAATTAGAGCAAGTCATATTCTCCCTACTTCCTGATGCTCATTACTGGTTTGGTGTTGGCTTGTTTGTTGATGTTATTTGTTCTTTCATGTTTTAATGAAAACCACACACTTCCCCAGGCCACTTAGCCTGTCAGAAGAAGTCATATTTTAAAACAACATTTAACATGAGACCCTAAAAGAGTGACTTATAACTCAACCCTAATTGAATATACAAGTCTTCAGTATCAGGAGAAGTCCTGCTGTTGTTATTTAACATGAATTGGACACCAGACTTGACAGGAAACATATCAATGCATCATAAAAGACCCTTGGAATTAAAAGTGGTGGAGCAAAACAGCGAAATAGTACAAATGCCCATTGACCTCTTACTGAAAATACAGACAAAAGCCAATACTTCCTTGTGTGGATGCCATTGCTTTTTATAAACAAAGAATTAGGAGTGCCTAGGCCATCATATCGGAGATTGTCCTCTCTGCTGTAGGCTGTAGAAATGGGCCTCCTTCAATATCTGGTTAATATGGGAGTAAGGACCTTGTTCTTCATACACTGCAAACTGCTCCTGTGAGAACTCAGTGACATTGTAGTTAACTTCAGGCACGTTCTGGTTTAAGCAGTTCTCCGTCATATGTTCTTGACGGGCAGTATTAGTGACACTGTGGTTCCTTGCATTACCACTGCTTGACGACTGGAAGGAGAAAGACAGAAGGAAGATGGTTATTATGATACTGTGATCATTTCCTATTCAGTTTGAAGAATCCTGGCATCACACTCTACAAAGGGCTTCACTGTCCATAAAGTGCAATCACTTGGGTAGCTCATTTTATTCCTCACAGCAATGATGTAACTCAAGTTGGGTTAATAGCACCCATTTGGCAGACAAGGAAGGAGATGTGTGATGGACCCAAAGGGTACAAACACAGACTTTCTCACTCCAAATCACTTCAAATATCCTCGTCCCTGCTGGCATCATGCTTTCCAATTATCTGCACCAGGAAAGTAGGCTCCCAATCTACAGGATAAAGTAGCAATCAATGCTGCACAATGTGATCTGGATTAGGACCATGATCTGGATTAGGACCAAAATAAGTATGATGGAATGCAGATCCATGTCCCAACATGACAAAGAAAAGATGGGGGAAGCTCCATTTACACATATGAGCATACATACAAATAAGAGGGTCTTTCCATACCTATGCCCTAGAGTGGACATATAACAATTCAAGACTCCACTCATCTCGAAGTGCTTTTGATATGTTTTAATGACAGCTGTATGTCAACACTAAGCATTTATGATGACTGATACACCTGATCTCCTATTTGTGGGTTTAGTTTAGTTTGTATATGGTGAGTTTGTTCTTAGTATTGTCTATCCTGGAAATAACTTCACTCTGTCATATTGGCAATGATATGTTTTGTTATTGTATTATACCCCAAAGAGCTATATTCTGGGATTCTGTAGCTAGGGATGAAATTTAGTGGTAGAGTGCTTTCCTGGCATGCATGGGAACTTGGCTTCCATCTCCTTGGGCATACGACACACACTTGTACACACACTCAGGAATTGCTTGCCTGTAATCTTAAGACTATCAAAGGAGGAGGAGGTGATTACAATGATGCTTATGTGAACAGAAATGTTGAGCAATATTGGTATTGTATGTCTTTAAGGTCATTTTTTTCAAGGTAGGATCGCAATGGTGACAGAAACCAAGATGTCATCATTCTCAGGTCATGTTTAACTCCTCAGCTCACTACATCACCCAAGGTATCAAATTACAGTATTTATGCACTGAGATTCATGCATTCACAGACTGTCTTTGAGAGACACAGAAGTCAAGTGAATCTGTGTGAGTAAATGTCTAATAGTTATAATTGTAAGGGCTATGTTTGTTAATGTGAACTCAGAGGAAATCAGACAAACTATACCCCTTCTGAGGCCTGCAGTATAAAGATCTCCATGTAGCACTTTTTAATGTATGGTATGGTTTTAATGGTCTGGTTCCCTTAGGGAGATTTCCTTTCTTGGTTGTTTAATGTGGGGTTTTCTTTTTTTCTGGAATAAATTCTCTACAAAATGGCAAGGAAGGGAACCATCACAAATGGAAACATAATTGATTTACACTCTTGTGTCATGAAGATGTAACATCATATGAAGACAGGATATAGTACATTAAAGGAATGATAACATTGGTAGTGAACGCCCTAGTACACAGGAAGTCCTAGTTTGAAACTCAGCTCAGCACAGCAGGTGCTAAGAAGCACTCTTGTAGAGCCAGGTGGAGGTTGGGGGATCACAATGTTAAGGTTATGATCATCTTTGGCAACATAGCCAGGTTGAGTCTTACTAGAGTCTCTTGAGACCCCCTTGCCTAGGAGAACTTACAGGAAACCTCACAGACAACACAGGAATTCTTCAGAGTCATTTTGAAGAAATCAGTAGATGATCAGCCTCTAATGTCTCTGTTTTGTAGTGGCATCATTAAAATGATGTTCATTGGCAGGTTTTACACCTTTAGCAACTTAAAATTAACAACCAGAAATTGCTTACCAAATTTTATAAGGGAAGTGACTGGCAGGGCATATTAGCACAAGCCTGCTATACCATCACTTGGGAGGTTAAGGTAGGACCTGCTGGATTACATAATGTGTTCCAGATCAGCCCTGCTGTGTATTGAGAACGTGTCAAAACAGAGAGACAGACACCCTGACAGGCAGCTATCCAGGCACTCAGTAAAAAGAAAAGAAAGAAGGAAAAAAGAAAGACTGAAGTAAATTCAACTAAAGCAAACAATACTACACCTATTTATTACATAGTCTTCAGGCCCATTTCTGGTCATAAGGATGACATAGTCATGATTTTGCTGATATACAATTATGTCCTTGATTTCTTATAGAATGTCTGTATTTCTCAAGACATTTGAAAACTTTGAGTTGTAGTTAATTAATATCAACATAATAATTAGTTGGAAAACACTATGGTTGTATTAGTTATAATTACTTTCTATTGCAGTGAAGACACCATGACCAAGGGAGGTTATGGAAGATCTACTAGAGACATAAGTTTCAGAATCTATGACCACGATGGTGGGTGGATGGCAGCAGGAAGGCAGGCTTGGTGCTTCAAAAGGTGCTAAGAACTGATAACTTGGCACATAACTTAGAGTCAGAGACAGAGAGATAGAGGGAGATAGAGACAGAGAGAGACAGAGATAAAGACAGAGACAGACAGAGAGAGAGAGCACTAACTGGGAATGGCATTGTGTGGGTATTTGAAACTACAAGCCCATACCTCCTCTAAAAAAGCCCAACCTCCTAATCCTTCCAAAACAGGTTCAGTTACTGAGGATCAAGCATTTCAATATATGAGCCTATTGGGGCCATTCTTACTCAAACTACCACTTACTTGTTCAGCTTGTGACTGGATATCTTCACTTTCCAACTCATCTACAAGTGATGTATAGAGAAAACTGAGATTCCCTCTGTAAGTAACTGAATCACAGATGCTACCATTATGCCAATGAAAATAGATTATGAGACTCAGTTCCTCCTGATATTAAACGAGGTTGATGAACAGTAGTGCTGGAAAAGAGAAGCTTGGACTTTGTAACAATCTTGCTGTGAGAATGACCTTGAGGAGGGCTCCTTGAATTAGAGATATTTATAATGCACGACCAACTGGGAATTTGTTTACTGCTTGATTATACTGCCTCTTTAGCAGACAAAACTGCTCTTCATAATAGATATATTTCCTTCTTCCTACACCTGCGTTTCATAGACGAGTTCTTTTACCAGAACATATAAGACCTGAAAAGTTTCAAGACTGTCCAACATTTCCTTGACACATGAATGCTTCTTAGCATGTTCTGACTGCCTTCATAAACATCTGTTCACAGTGCCCACTCAAGTAGGAAGCCCAATGCTTTACAAAAAGGGGATGTTTATTGGTCAGGTTGTTGGTGGTACATGCCTTTTACCCTGTACATGGGAGTCAGAGGAGTCAAGTCTCTTGTGCAAACTGAGTTCCAGGACAGCCAGGATGCACAGATAGATAAACCCTGTCTCTATAATAAAAACAAACAAATGGAGAAACAAAAAAGATTGATTGATTTATGTGTTCCTGAGCACATGCTATGTACATTATGAATATTTAGGTGCCTCCGCAGGCCAGAATAGGGAGATGCATGCTCTCTAAATGGAATTATAGGTGGATGGAATCCCCTCAATATGGGTGTCCATGTCCTCCGAAAGACAAGCTACTATCAGCAACTGCTGAGCCATCTCTCCAGTCACACAAATCCCACTCTGGTGTCCCTGCACTCTCAACACAGTTTAGATCTTATTTTGGGTGTGTCCTTGTATATCCATGCATTTCATAAAATAAAAGCATCATTGAGATGAATTTGGGGAAGAAGATCTCACCATCTAAAAATTCCAAGTATACTAAACAATGATGATGTGGCCTAGGTACATGTGCAAGACACTGCTATGCTTCATTCAAGGTTTTGTAAAGTCTGCATGTTTAACACAGAGCCCAAGAAGCTGCATGACTAGATGAGAATTTCTACAGTTGTGTTTGAGGACAAGACAGAGAATCAACCCTGTGGCTTTCTTCTCAGTGGCTGGGAGCCTTCCTTATATGGGCTGCGTTGTGAGAGAATGCTGGTAGGCACGTGCTATTGAAATGCCTAGCATGGTAAGAAAACACTAAGTGTACATACATTAGTGGTGACTTATAGATCCTTATTCAGTCTCAGGCCTACTCAAGAAAGAGGAAATCAGACCTGGTACAGGAAACCTAGACAATCACCCGGGGTAGATACAGTAATGGAATCTGGAGAACCAGTAAATGCAGCTTTACTAAGACAGCATAATTTCTAGCTGCATTCCAAATATTATCTTATACTCACAGAGAAGTACAATCCTCATGCTTTTTCATGGAAAATACTTTTTCCAACAGACAGAGACCATTAAAGAACAGCACCACTAACAAAAGTGCAGCATGGTGGAGCCCAGTCACAGTGGACACAATGAACATAGTGGAAGGGGGGACAGAATGATTGATAGAAGCAGAGATCATGAGTTTTCTGTGAGACTGTGTCTCCTAAGAATGTCAGAAGCTACACCCATAAAGTCCCTCCACCATGAAGGCCTCAGCATGAACTGAAGAACAACCACAACAGATAATGCAGAGTGCACATGGCACCTCAATGCTACAAAATCAAAAGCAAAACCTATGTCCAACTAAGGGATACCGACAGTGGGAGAAAAGGACAATCCAATTTGGTTATCTAATACCAAATGCTCAGTTCAGAGATATGCATAAACGTAATAATAAAGACACTGAATAGGTTGTATGCTTGAGTATCTCTCTCTAGCTCTCTCTTTACTTCTCTCTCTCTCTCTCTCTCTCTCTCTCTCTCTCTCTCTCTCTCTCTCTCTTGTAGTGACTGGTTTGTTAACAGGGTTACAACACTTCACAACACTCCGAGCAAAGGGCTAAGGATGTAAATGAAGACAAAGACAGCTGCTCATTCTTACAAGAATGGCATTTATTTTTTATAATTTATTTTTTAATTTATATTTAAATTAGAAACAAGGTTGCTTCACAAGTCAGTTCCAGGTCCCTCTCCCTTTCCCTCCCCTTCTCCCGTGCCATCCCCCCCAACTACCCCATTATCCCCTCATTTC